CTACCCCCACCTGCTGGGAGTGTCACATCTCAGGGTCCTGCTGATGGAGGCCTCCCCTCAAGGGATCCCTGTGCTGACTAGGGTTTTCCCCTAACCGTGGCAATAGCTACTAATCATCAAACGTGACCGTGTGTGCCTGGAGCTATGTACAGGGCCTCCTGTACAATACCTCACACTACCTGCACAATGTTATGGGCGAATGTTATGGGTAAAGACTATGAGACTTGGAAGACATCTGGGAACTTACTCAAGGTCACACAGCTAGTAAGAGCAGATACAGTTGGTTTGACTCCAAAGCCTTTGGCTGAACCACAACTCCCCTGAACACACACACACACACACACACACACGCACACACGGTGGGGGACACACCCATAGGCCCAGGCCCTGAGACAGACCCTGCCATCAGCTGTCAGGCGGAGGCGCCAAACATCTGGCTCAGCAGATAGGAGGGGTGAGAAGAGAGGGAGCTGTTTCTGGAGGGAGGAGCCATCCGCCATCTGTCAAGTCAGGCCTGGCCCTCTCCCGGAGGAAATGTCCCCTCCTCCAGGAAGGGTGGTGAGAGAAGGGGCCCCCACGGGCTGGGAGGGGAGGTCCAGACTGACAGGGAGCCCCCCCTCCCTGCTTCCCTGAGGAGGGGTGAGTCAGCCACAGAGACCCCAGGGGATGCTTGTGAAAGACAAGTCAGGGGCAAGACCTGAACGGCAGAGGGAGGGTGCCCTGCCCCCACCTCCTGCCCGGCTCAGGTGCACCAGCAGCTGTCTCCCCACTGGAGCCACGGACACGCACTAAACAGGAGCAGATTCCTGCGCATCATCCCTCTCCCCTCCCCTCCTTCCCTTCCTTCCCCCCTCATCGCCCTGGCCAGGCCCAGCCCAAGAAGTGTGGAGCTCCAGCCAATGCTGGCTGTTGAGGTTTCACGTGGAATCACGACTGCAGCGACACGTATGTTATCCTCACTTTATTTAAAAAAATTTTTTATGTTTATTTATTTATTTTGAGACAGAGAGAGACAGTGCATGAGTGAGGGAGGAAGAGAGAGAGGGAGACGAGACACAGAATTCG